GGCTGTGCGCGCACAATGTTGCAACATTGTAACTAAGTTTGTTGTAACTTAATGTGTCATACAAAGTGTGGTTTAATTTTATTTTTTGTAATACTGTAGCGTCCGCCAGGATGTGTGGAAAGGATGACGCAGTTATTTGGCAATTGAACCACCATTTATTACTGAACAGTACAGGTTACTGTTGGCCGTAACCACGCCAAAACAACCAACAAACAACAACTTAGCTGTAACTCCATCTGTGCACTCCTGCTCTCTCCTCCAGCTTGCTCATACACACAACAGCACGCGCACTCACACAGCCCTCCTCATCCCCATCACACTCGCACCCCGCACCTCATTCAATCCCAAACATGCCATTAACTCACAGAACATTGACAGTATAACAGAACATTTACTGCAGGGTCACTACAATACATAGCCTATAACATTATCAAATCGTCAAAGGGAGGGGGACTCCCGGCCCGACCCGGCCCGCGGGCCCAAGCCGGGTCGGGCCGGGCTCGGGCTCGGGCAGAGAATCTAAGCTCTACCCCAGATAATGCGGTGACGTCACCAAACTTGGAGATGACACATCGTAAAGGCATGGATATTCTTCCCAGACAGTATTGAATCAGATCTGCCTCCAGGGCCTGGGTCCAAACACAATGCGCTCGCCATGATCCTGTGGACGCCACCATTGTTGTTGTTGCTTGCCGGCTTGCCAGGTCTAGACCTGGCAACCCTGCAGCTTGTCCTCCTCACATTTCTTCCATCCTCCTGCGTGCTGACGTGGGATGTATCCCACCTCTCATTTGCTGATGCTCTTTGTCAGTCGTGTCACACTTTTATAGCATATCCATCCCAGTCGCATAGGAGGGGACGACTTGCTCGTAGGCTTGTTCACATAAGGACTCGTTGTGGCAGACTATCTGCCGACTCACCTCCGACCCAAGGTAACTCTCAAGATCCTCTGCAACGTCAAAATCACGGTGAAAATGTGTAATGTGTACTAGGCTTTAGGGGTGTAATGATCCAATCAATCTGGATCTATACGGGAAACCTCACCCGGCCCGGACATGGAAAGGATTGACAGATTGATAGCTCTTTCTCGATTCTGTGGGTGGTGGTGCATGGCCGCTCTTAGTTGGGGGACTCCGGCATGCTAACTAGTTACGCGGCCCCGTGCAGTCGGCGTCCAACTTCTTAGAGGGACAAGTGGCTTTCAGCCACACAAGATTGAGCAATAACAGGTCTGTGATGCCCTTAGCTGCACGCGCACCACACTGAGTGGATCAGCGTGTGTCTACCCTTCACCGAGAGGTGTGGGTAACCCGCTGAACCCCACTCGTGATAGGGATTGGGGATTGCAATTTTTTCTCATGAACGAGGAATTCCCAGTAAGCACGGGTCATAAGCTCGCATTAATTATATTCTATTTCTGAGATAATACAAGATTAAAAGCCAAAAAGCCAACCATAGAAAATGTGCTAAAGGCCATCTTTTACAGTCTAAATGTAATTTTTATTGTAAAATCCCAAAATGGAAAATTCTCTTAACATTAATGAAAGACTTAAAAAATACCGTTAATATACATTAACTTTTCAATCAAAATAAATTAAGATCATCATCTCAAAATAATTTAAAAAAAAGCAGATTTTTGATACTAATAAATGAACGACACTCAATCCTACAGATTTGCATTGACCAAAATTACAGTTCTGTATCACCACCACTAGATTACATTCATTAGATACATGTTTTTTTTTTGTGTGTGTGTGTGTGTGTGCGTGCGTGCGTGCGTGCGTGCGTGCAAGCTGCTCAAATAAATTGCCCTTCATGAGGGAATAATAAAGTCTGTATCTATAGATGTCATTTAGCGGCCATAATTCAATCTAAATGAAAGCATCTAACTGGATTATTTTAATATTGCCTCTAACTTTAATACAGGCTGAGTTAGGCTTCTTAATGTTTCCAACTGTCCAGCATCCAGTACAGACAGTTGTAGGCTGTTTTTGTTTCATAATAATCATTATGTAGAAAAATAATTTGTTTGAATTTCTGTCATTAAAAAATATTTTGTTTTCTTTTTTGTAATGGTAAAAAAGAGCAGGAGAGAGAGAAATTTCCACAGACTCCCTGCAATGATGCTAACTGGCATGTCATTCAACACAATGTTGCTCACTGTCTGTCAACCTCTGTGAGAGGTACTATACTGAAGGTGTTTGGTGGAGACGGGGCTTGTATGTCAGCCCTATGCTAGTCTGGTGACCTGTCCTGGGTGTACCCCACCTCTCACCCAGTGACAGCTGGGATAGCCCCCGTGACCCTGTACCAGGATAAGTGATTACAGAAATGAATGAAGGAATTAATGAATAATTTAAAGATAAGAACTTGAAATAAATAGCAGATAATCGCGTAAAACAGACAATTTTAAGCTTTAATGACTCCACACAGCCCTGCCTCATGCCTGCCTCTTCTAATTTGAGTCATATGGAGCAACGGGAGAGGATATGTACCCATGACAGTGTCTGTGTATTGTGACCTCAAAACAAGATATGACTCCCTGGTTGATAGCCCTGGAGAAAGAATCAATCAAGAAAAGATGAGGATCAGAGAGGAGACTCTGCAGGAAGCCCTGTAAGATCTCGCTGCTTCCATAAACCAGTCATTGAATCTAATCCACTGAAACAAGCAGTAACCTGTTCAAACTGGTCAACGTTCCCAGTACAGGTACATACATAAAAAGTAAGTCAGTAACTTCTAATTTTGTAACTGAGCTTATTCCATGTTTTGATGTAAACAAGGTAAACATACCCGTAGGCCTGAACATAGGCACACAAGGATTTTCAATCCCAGTGCTCTCCAACCTCTGTGAGAGGAATAATGTTCTTCTTGACATAGGCCATAGCTTTGTCCGCGTCAGTAAACTCCATGTCCTCCTCTTTGTGCATGACCCGAAATCGAGCTGGTAACAATAGGCTGTACCGGGAGTCTGTTGGTCGGGAAGAAGCTTCCTCACCTCTGTGAACACCGCCCACGCTTTGGCCACAGTTGTAGTATTGTCAGGAAAGTTGACACCCAGTTCCCCATTAAAGCACAGTGGACCTCTACTGCAAGGTTTTCCACCCAGCTTCTTTGGCCCCAAATCTTAGAGTTCAGAGCCACAGTGTTGGGCCCTTGTTTTGGAGGGTCTGGTATACTTATATTTCCGCAAGTTCGTTGCCATTTGTTTACCTCCGTGGAGCAATTCCACTTTAAGGTTATGTTTAGAGTTTGTTTGCTGTCGCATAGGATGGGATGCACTTTACAAGTTTTATTTAAAATAGAAGCTAAGCAGGAGCTTGCATTAAAGACACCTCATTCCATTGCGGCCAAGCCAAGCCCCATGCCTCTATTTTATAATGACTTGGGGCCTCGTTGAAGTCATCAACGCAGCCATTTGTATCTCTAGTTTATTGCCTGTTGTATCTCCACTTTCTAAAAATGTATGTTGAACTTTCAATAGTACTTGGGCTATACAAAAACCTTTTCTAAAAATTCACTCAGTGCTGCGACCAAAGATAATGGTGACAGATGACCTCAGGGTCGAACCCTTGTGTATACGCACAATTTCCTTGAACTGCAAGACACCATTAGAATCAGTCCAGAGAAGAATGGTCAAAGGAAAGGAGGGGCCCTCCAGCCCCCTGAAAACTCTACAAAAGAGCATGCTGTGTTCATTGTAAGCCAGTCTGCTCCTGGGACCAGGCTTGAGTTTGTTGGTTTTGCTGTTCTGTAGAACTAAATAAACTCCGTTGTGCAACGACTTTGTTCATCTCCAGTGCATCATTTGGCCTCCAGCGTGGTTCCTTCAAGACCGTTTTGAGACTGCTATTGGTAAATTTGCTAAGTTATGAACTGAGTTTATTTAGGCTTCAATTAGTGATCTATCAGACACGACCTTAGCTGCAGAACAAGATGCTATAGCCCTGCAGCGGCTCTTGTTCCCTGGTTTGAAGGGTGTGTGTGCTGTGACTGTGTGTGCTGCTGGTTTAGCTGCTGACGAGAGTCTGTCACTGCACAGCAGCTTGTGCTTTGGATCTGGGATTGCGTATGTTACTGTGCTCCTGGGTTAGCTGCTAAGAAGAGTCTGTAGCTGTATGGTGGCTCATCCTTTGGCTTGGTGTGTTTTTATTCACCGCTCTCTCTCACCATCATCCTCATGATGTGCAGTGAAACCAACGCTGGAGCAGTGGGCCCTGGGTTCCTCCTTGTGCAGGACAATGCCTTGCCTCATGTGGCCAGAGTGTGCAGGTATCAGGAGCATGCCCAGATGTTGTTGGGAGTTCATACAGGCATGAGGCAGCATTTTGAGTTGCCGTGATAAAATTCAGTTGGATCAGCCTGTCAATTTTTTACTTTGACTTCCAGTGTGATTTTGAATCCAGCTGACAGTTGGTTGATGATTTTGGTTTCCACTGACCATTGTTAAGTCATTTTGTTCTCAACAAATTATACAGTGTATGTCAGTAAAGATTTTCAACTTCAATAATTCGTTCATCAAGATCTGATGTGTGGTTTAAGTGTTCCATTCATTTTTTTTTTAGCAGTGTATTTGTATGCCTGGGTCAGTCACCAAACAGGTGCTAACATTGTCTTGTCAAGTTCATTTTTATAGATCCCAAATGGAATCCCAATGACATGGAAAGTGGTGTATGCCTCTTTCAGGTGCCATTTTGTGCATACACAGTGGTTATAAATGAGGCCCCAGATCTATGCTCTACAATGATAAATAGCATTTGAATGTGCCATCTTGGCGACATTTTTCTAATTTAATTAAGATGTTGTTTTTTATTATTTTCCTTCAGTTAATTTCAGTAAACAATTTATGATGAATGCAAAAGCCACTTAATGATTGTTGCTGCATTTTGTTGTCATTTGCTTTATAAATTAATATTATGTTTCACTCAGAGAGAATCAGTTTTATTATTCTTTCTATATTGTTGTTGAAAGATTGAACTGAAACATTTTGTCTTCCACAGGCAGGAAAACTGGCTGTTGACAGAGGATGGGCTATTAATGTTGGTAAGTGAGTTTCTAGTACAGATAGGTTTAATCCATAAATAGGCAACCAATCCTTCTGCACTCAACAGGTATACATTTAACTCCAGTATGTGTGAGTGAATTATTGTCAGTATCAACCTTCTCTCTTAGACACTACATTGATGTACTACGGTTTTTTGAATTTCTCTCACTACTTTAGTTGCTTTCTGTGTGTGTGTGTGTGTGTGTGTGTGTGTGTGTGTGTGTGTGTGTTTGTGGTTAAGGCTCTGCAATGACAAAACAAACTTATTAACAATAAACCAAAAAACATCAACTTGTATTGTGCAGTGACAAGGTGAACTGAAGTATGAAATAAATTATGAACTGATCCAAAGCACTGTATTGGTATTGGCCCCCATACTGACATTGGATATAAGCCTGTGACCAGTTCACGTTGAATATAATATGGGTTGTCAAGTTATTATTTTTTAATTAACAAGGGGAAGCAATTCTTACCAGAGTGTTTTGATTGGAAATTAAATTAATGCAAAGAAATTTACTTTATGATCTTGACTTTTAGATTTATTTCTATAAAGTCAGTGCTGCACTGCTACAACAGTGTAGTCTGAAACCATGACTTAGAGGTGGGTGACAACTTCAAAGTTCTCATTCTGTGCAATACAGTTGGTTGTTTTTTTTATTTGTCGTTCGTTCGTTTTGTGAAATTCGAGGGCAGAGGGGGTAAACTGTAAATTCTAACAAGTTAAGTTTACTTAAAAAAATTTAGGAAGCTAATTACCTTGGGAAAAGTAAGTAAACAAACTTAACTGTGTCAAGTACTGTGAAATCATTATGTTTGAGTAAGCTGTACTTTTTTTTGAAGTTGTGAGCACCTAATGTATCCCAGTATAGTTAAATTCAATCAAGCTGTTAGAACTCAAATACTTTGAGTCACATTAACTTAATATATTCTGCCAAAACAAGTGGGAATTACTTGAAATTTGTAATACACTACACTTAACGTATCTTAGTGTAGTCCACTATAATAAAGTTAATAGGAACTCAATAAAGGTAAGTCACATGAACTTTATATACTGTGCCAAAGTAAGTGAGCAGTACTTAATTCTAAATAAAATGCACTTAATATACCTCAGCTAACTTAAAAACAACAACTCACTAAATGGCATTATGAAAACCATAATTTATTTTTTATTTGTAAACTCGCAAAATGTTATCATAGCATATTGACATATAATATATATTAAAAACAATAACAACACATATGACAACAATCGACATGCTGTTCATTCTCACCGAGTTGTGTACAAAACATGTTTTCTTTTTCTGAAGAAGACAATATGGAACCTCTGCAGCTCCACACACACACAAAAAAAATCTGTCACTGTTAATTTTTATCAAAACATTAAAAAGAAGTAAGTAAAATATAATCAATTCAGTAAAAATAAATGCATAAAATATTCAATAAAGTTTTGTTCAATTGTTCAGCCCTATCTACTCTCACTCATTCACACACCACACTCATGTAGACAGCTGTCCGTAGCTACTACATCTAGCTCAAAAGAACATTTTTTAATTTTTGCCGTTTTGGGCTGAGCTTTTGTTGTCCAAGGTTCAACAGTATCTTCTGCATGAAGTCAAATGTGTTCTTCATACCTTTGGGGTAATCCAGATGGAGTGCGTATATTAAGCCGAATAGCAGAAAAAGTGCTTGAGCGTGTGTGGGAATCTCATCCATGATATAATTTCCTTCAAGGATGATTGCAATGCTGTTTATCTCTGGTGACATATCCCCAGTCATGACTGAAAGAACCCCGACAGGTACCTGGGCGAAGTCATATTCGGTGTCCGAATCCTGCATTCAAAATAAAAGAACACAAATAAATTTAGGTAGGATGTTATGACCCACGGTTATAGTGTGTTCACTCCTATAATCAAAGTGACTGCAGGAATCACAATTTAAAATCACACAGAAGAAACCAGCAATCTGGAAAATTGTCTTACAGAGCTCTTTTGAAAGACTATGGACAACAGGTAGAAATGGCTGCGTTTCAGCACTAAGCCTTAACAAAAAGCATTAAAAAAATCCATAAAGATTTTTTTTTTAATGTGTGCTGAATTGTGCATTTGAGCTAATTTTCCTAGGCTGCTACTCAGTGGTGCGGTGTACATTTTACAACATCAGATCTCAGCTTCAGTCCTCAGGCATCAGACAAAATGAAATTGTTGTTTAGACTAAAATCTTCAGGTCTCTGGAAGAACCCCCTCAGGTCGAAGGGCTAGCACAAATAGACCTCAAACAAAATGGCTTAAGACCAGACAGCATCGGGCCAAACAGTGTAGCAGCAAATTCTCATTACAAGACATTACGGGACATTACAACCCAAAGTATAACGAAACACAGCCATTATTTTTTAACTTTCCAACATGTATCCTTTCAGAAAGGGGATGTTGTGAAAAATGATTTTACTGCAAAGGGCATGACATCAGTGGTTAAAGTAACACACCCAAAATCAATTACTGGAGGACAAATAGTGATACAACTTCATCTGGGAAGCTCAGATTTGGCTCAAACTTCTCAAGCCTTGACAAAGTTTGTTTTGTTTTTTTAACCACACCTGAACAATAATGTTTTTTCTGAAATCTGAGAACTGAACCTGAGGTCTGAGATGTCGTAAAATGTACACTGTATGATGGTCATATGATCATCAATATGAATGTACTTACTGAAGAGCTGTTGAAGAATTCGCTGGAATTATCTCCGAGATGAAGGGGCAGACATTGCAGGACAGCAGTGCCTGTTGTGGTGATGTCATTGGCCTCATGGAAAAGATGACAAAAACAATAAGCAGAGGATAAGATATAAGAAAGGCAAAGTTACAACATTGAATTCTAAGTGCTTGATGTAGTTAAATAATTACTTGTAGTAGTAGAAGTAGTAGTTATTATACAAAGTATACATAAGGTAGTACATAAGGTGGTAATGATGAAGAATCTGAAACAACACTTACTTGCGTATTGATTGGCTGGAGGAGGCAATCAAGTGACTGGCCTACAACTCCTTTTCTGGATCTGAAGATGTCAATGAGACGAGTGGTGTGGTGGTCCAGAGCTTCGTAGAAGTCTTTCTTGAGGTTCTTACTGGCAACTCTGTAGAACTCGGCAAACACCTTAAGAAACAAAAAAAAACACATCCAAAGAATTATTTACTCCATCATGGTAGTCATTAAATGCTAACAGTCCATTTGACTGTAGTGATGCACGATTTGATAAAAATGTGCGATTGCGATTTGAGTGGACAATATCGCGATTTGCGATTGCAATTACAATATAACAAAAAAAAAAGGGTATCATGAGTCTTCTTGCTTGATTCAGTGTTTCCCCTACATTATATCAGGGGGGCACTGACCTGACATAGTTATTGTTATGGACAGTGTGTAAATGACCATCAACAGACTGAGCACAGTCAAACACGCTGCTTGCACAGCAGCGCAGTACGGCACTGTACACACAGCGGAGCGAGCCTGTGTTGCGTTCAGGTGTTGTCATGTAAATGACAAATTCCAGCATGCCATAGCACAACACAGCAGCATGTCAAGTGGGCCGAACCCGAGCAAAGTTGCTCAATTTTTAATTTGTTATTATATAGTTTGTTATGGAGTCCATGGTTATGAGGCTCTGGCGTCTTTAAGTTGTCTCTTTGTCTTTAACGTTACACGGCTCGGCTTTCTCTCGTATGCATTCTTCCTACTTTTCTCTGTGCTGTCTCAAGTGCTGATCTAGATCGGTCGTGTTGCCGCGGGACGTGGCGACTTTAACTTTTAAAGTTTACACAGTCTTTCTGTTCAATGTCGCCGTACCTGAATTCAAAGTATCGCTATGTAACAGACGTTTTTTTCGCCAACAACTCAGCCTGTTCATGGTCGGGCTCATGCCCTTCTTCAGTGTCTATGTTGGTCACTGCTGCACGCCGGGTGGTGACCTGACCATACGTGCTGCACACACCAGGATAGCTTGTGGGCGTAATGTCAAGAAACTCCACACACTACAGGAGAAGTAGTCACAAGCACACACGTTAACATTTATTTACATTAAATCACAAATCGCAGCCTTTTATGCGGTTATGTAATCGCACAGCCTGACATCACAATTGCGGTTAGATTAATCATGCAGCACTATTTGACTGTTATACAGTAGCCTACATTTCTCAAAAAGTAATGACCAGATTGCTGAAATTGATGATGTGTTAGGTCTACAACCAAACTGCAACGACAAAACTGCAGACGTCGAGAATGACAGTATGTGGAAGCCTCATATTGTAACACTATTTTCTCCAAAAGTTAAGATTGAGTTTTGATCAAATCCTCTTGTAGGCAGGTGTAGGTAGGTGCATATAGTGTAACATGGTGAAGATATTAGGTTTAAAATGTTCACGAATGTGGATGGAACTTATAAATCAGATAATTAAAACCACCTCACAACGTCATGAATTCAAAGACCGGCATATTTAGTGATGTTTTAAATGTACTTCAGGCTATGCTAACTTCACATGATCATTTGCCATAACTTTGGACACTTTACAGACTAAATGATTAATCAATTAATCATTAAAATAATCTAATAAAACAACAGAGTAATCTAAAATGAAAATAATGATTACTTGTTGTGTGGTTCAGTATGGTGCAGCAGAAATGGGCCACACCTGACTTTCTGTGAACAGTGCAGGCCAGCGTTCCATCATCTTTTTGACTGGAGGCTGTTTTTTCACGATTTCTTTGCGTTGCAAAAAAAATGTGTGGTCCATCATTTTCTTCACATCAGCTGTAAAAGACAGGTTGCTTTTATAATCACGGCAATGTTCATTATTAACCTGCTTGAGTTTTTAAGCCTAACTCGCTTACATACCAATTATCCGCACAGACTTGCCTCACAAGTATGAAATTAATGAATTACTTAAGTATGAATGCTTGAAGTATTAAGTATGAAATTAATTATCTTCGTGTTATACTCATTTTTTCAAGTAG